CCTTCTTTAATGGGACGGTATGAATACATTTGAGGACAAGTGTATATTAACTTCACAACCCCACCTTTGTAGTCAGTGTGTGTCTTTTTGTGGTGTTTTTTTCCCCCTACATTTTTGAGATTATTTTGTCTTTTTGTAGCAGTATCTTAGTGTTTGTATTGTTTTTCTTTCACTGCATTCATCTCTGTAGTCATTTTGTCTTTGTATAATCATTATGTACTTCTTTGTGTTGGCTCAGTGTCATTTTGTATTTATTTGGTGTATCTTGTTTGCCACAGTGGCATGCAAATGTACGCATACAGAGAACTGAAACTGAGTTTCTCTAGAAACATCATTTAAGAAAACACACAGTTGAAAAAATATACCTACTAAAAAATATTTAAGATAAACATATAATAAGCTGCAAAATATACAATTTAAACATACAATAGGATAAAAAAATATACAATCTAAACATATAGTAGGCTAAACAGAGAGTTCAGCTTCCTGACAGCCTAGTGGATAAAGCTGTCTGCTGGTCCTGGCCATCAGACTCTTTAGTCTCCTCCCTGATGGCAGCAGGCTGAAGGGGTTGTGAGACGAGTGGGTAGAATCACGCGCTATGCAGATGTGTGAGGTGGGTGCTGTAGATGTTCTGGAGGGAGGGGAGAGAGACACCAACGATCTTCTCCGCTGCTCTCACGATGCGCTGGAGTGTCCTGCAACAGGAAGGGGTGCAGGAGCCGTACTACACAGTGATGCAGCTGGAGAGGATGCTCTCGATGGTGCCTCTGTAGAAGGTGGACCGGGGGCCCGGGCTCTGGCTCTTCTCAGCTTGCGCTGGAAGTAGAGACGCTGTTGAGCTTTCTTGGCCAGGGATGCAGTGTTGCTGGTCCAGGAGAGATCCTCTGAGATGTGCACACCCAGGAACTTGGTGCTGCTCACCCTCTCCACAGCTGCACCGTTGATGTTTAGAAGAGCATGCTAGGTGTGCTCTCTACTATAAAATGATAGCAAAGCATTTGGAAAGGTATCTCAACCGGACAAAACAGCAACCCATGTACAGGGGCTATAATCCCCGACGCAGCGGCCGCAGTTCGAGTCCAGCCAGCAGCTCATTTGCTGCACGTACTTCCCCCACTCTTCTCCCCATGTGCCCTGTCGCTCTTCACTGTCCTATCCATCCATCCATCCATCCATCCATCCATCCATTATCTATACACCGCTTAATCCTCACTAGGGTCGTGGGGGGCTGGAGTCTATCCCAGCTGACTCAGGGTGAAGGCAGGGGACACCCTGGACAGGTCACCAGTCTGAAAATGTAAAGGGAATGTGTTGTGTGTAACTTCATGCCTTTTAGAGATCATTTCATCTTTCCACTTGCTTAATTGTTCACATTAACAGGAATTTTGACCGGGGGTGCCCAAACTTTTGCATGCCACTGTATTTGTCTTTTTGCATTTGTTTTTTTGACATCTTTATTGTAATTTTGTGTAAGTGTATGATTCGTACATCTTCGGGTTTGTTTTATGCCTCTTTTTGGCCATTTTGTACATCTTCTGACATGTTTCATTTGTTTTTGTTTTTTTAGCACCAGCTGCTACTGAAGATCCACCATGTGAGCAGAAAGAGCCTCTGAAAGACACCTGCAGGCCTGAGCTGACATGAAAGGTGAGCGGTTTGTGTGCTATTAATTAAAGTACCAAAGAATAACACATACTCAGTGTATCTTTTAGGGCCTTTGTTGTTTTGGGCCTCTGAGCTGCTGCCCGGTTGGTGAACCAGCCTTTTCTAACAAGTCTGTGAAGAATGAGAAAAACATAAAAACTGAGCAAAACAAAAGGCAAAGGAGTGAAAGGAGAAGAAATAATCTCTATTTTTAGCTGTTTATTCAATTAGATCTCTGGCACTTTGCTGCAATATGCATGAAATAAGACTAATCTGCCGGAAAGTGTATGAGAAGGCGAGCAGAGATGCTGCATGTGTTTACTGCTTGGCTGGACACATGTAATGTATGTAATCATTTCCTCAGAGAACCTAAAGACGGCTCCGTTTACATCATGTGTACTGTATCACACCGAATCATTCATATGTTTAATTTAATTATCCTTCCCGTCATGGCTGAATTAACCTTGCAGAGCAAAACTCCACCATGGACGCCCTACAACACATGTCGCTTTCAGTTTGATGTCTTTTTATACAGTGTATGTAAACATCTGGTTTCAGCTTCATATATTTTCTTACCCTTCAAACAATAAAAATCAATAATTGTGATTCCTATGATGACTTACAATACTATAAAACTGAAGCAACCTGATAAAATAAACTTAATATCAGTGAAATAGACTTTGACACCTCTACAAGACAGCCATAATATTAAGGATAATCATTAAACTGGTTGGGATCTTAAAAAAAAGAAGGTGTTTACATCCCTCTGCTATTTGATTTGGTTTTAATTTGTTAATACAAAGACTACAATAATAACCTTCACTGAAATCTTGAACAGAACACAAAACAAAGAAGCACATAGAAAGGTGTCATAAAAAGCAGAAAACCTGTGTTCATAAATTTGGGTTTGCAAATACATAAGCCTGAAAACATCGTAAATCAAACATGTCCAAGATGAATGATGATCTAAATTATGAATATTCGTGGTTTTGTTAATTGTCTGTGATCCTACGTTTAATATCTTTTGGCTTTAGACAAGTTGAAGATGTTGATTAATCTGAAAAATCACTTTAAAAAAATAAAAAATATCTAAAAGTGAAAGTCAGTAGCTGGTAATGGCTTGTTCAGTTTCTGCTAAATTCAGTTTCTTGTTTTTGATTTTGTTTTTTTCATCAACATTTAAGTGTGTTGTTAGTTGCAGCTGTAGAGTTAAAACATTAACTGTAGTGGCATATATTTAGTAAATTAATTTGATTTTTTTTTTTCTTGTGCAAAAACATATTTAGATTTTCTTAACATCATTCAACAATGTTGCAGTTAAACAACTTCCCAATTTAAAAACTTAATTCAGAACATAACATAATTTCATTAAAAGTTGCCATAGCTCACATAAAGATGGATTTTTTTCCCCTTACAAGTACGAGTTTGTTGTGGAGGAGTTGATCAAGAATCAAATATGCTAACTTTTAAATAAATAGGAAAATCTAACTGGAACAACCTATTTTTATGCATAATCAACTTAACTTGCGTCTAGGATGCATTTTAAAATGTCAAAATCACTGGTTCCAGCATATAAATTGTGAATATTTGTGGTTTTCTGTGTCTTCTGTGATCCTACATTTGATATCTTTTGATTTTAGGAGGGCTGGACATTGGGATTAGTCAGAAAAATATATAATTTTTTGCATTTGGAATTCAATTAAGGTCAGGAGCAACTTCAATTTTAGGAGTAATCAATATAAAAACGTGTGTTTATGCTAAAATGATTAAATAATTTGGGGTCTGTGGGGACATCTTTTAATCAAGAAAGTCCATGATGAACTGGTTCCAGCAAACTTCCTGTTAGGTAATCTGGAAAAACTTGCGTTTATGCCACCAGTTATTAAATAAATTGGGATTGGGCCCTGCAGGAACAACTTTTTAATCTAAAATGTCCAACATTAACCAGTTTCAGTACCTTACCTGTGAATATTTGTGTTTTATTTGTCTTCTGTGATATCTTTTGGTTTTGGATGATGCTGAGGTGTTGACTAATCAGAAAATGCATGTCAATGGAGGGGCCCAACAACCCCTCTTTGGCCCCCCTCAGGTGCTGTGTCCTGGGCTGTGGAGCTGCAGGCTCCGGCCCTGCAGGACGTCTTTTAAATGAGAAAATAACCGCTTTGTGTGAACTGTGGACCCGGTAATGGCCACATGAGGGCCCTGCGTCCTCTCCGCCTCCGAACCTCTCTCCTCATTTCCAGTCTGTGCCAAATTCCCTCCTCCTCCCTCCGCCTCCCTGCCTGCCAGAAGCCGCTCTCAGGCCGCGGAGGGGAGCGTTCACACCCCGCTGTCGGCGTTTAGCGGATGGGGCTCCCAGTCTCAGCTTGAACCGGAGGGAGGGAGGAGGATGAACGGTAACCCTTGTGCCCGCAGGCTGGCCCGGCGCTCCCGGTCCGCCCTGCTGGTCGCCGCTCTGGCCGTCCTGCTGGTCCAGACTCTCATCGTGTGGAACTTCAGCAGCCTGGACTCCGGGGACGGAGGCGCCAGGAGCCGGGAGAAGAGAGAGGAGCGGACCGGGGGGCTCAACAAAGCCGACGGGGAGCACCCGAGGAGGGGGCTGCAGACGAAGGGCGACCCGCCGCCGCCGCCGCTGCTCGGGAAGGCGGCCGCTCGGCACAAGCTGCAGGCGGTATGTTTGATTGATATGCGCTCCGTGTGCTGCTTTAACGTGATTTTTACACGAGTGGTTCTTATGGTGGACATTGAGCGTGTGTGTCCCCGAGGGGAGCCGCATGGCAGCGGCAGAGATGCTGCTGCTGAGCGGCTGCAGCTGCTGCCTGTTGTTTTGGCATTTGCATCAACACAGTGTGTTGTGTGGAGAAATGGGTCGGTAGGCCAAACTTCATTCTAAAATCTGTTCATTTAGGGCGTCCACAGATGCCCACAATTTCAGCCGAAACACCGCTTTGCGACGACTCGTAGCAGCTGTTGTACAAACCGCAGTTAATCAATTCACAACTTCACGCTGATTGCTTCAACAAATTTTCATCAGATTCCGAACTGAATTATAGAAATGAAGAGCGAAATAGTGATGCTCGCTTGCTTAGTTATCGATAATATTAATGCCGAATGAAAGAACGACGTAGATATTTTAATACCATGTATTCAGTGGAATTCAGCAATACTGCTTAGTTTATCAGTAACTAAGAAAATACACAAATGGCTGATTTTTTAAATGGAGTTTGGTGGCATCTCACTCTTAAAACGTCATTTTCGCTGAGTTTGAAAGGGCAACATGTTTTTAATGAATCCCTTAATTCTGAGCCTTGACATTGATTTGAGCCTTTAATACATATCTCATTTTGCACAGTAAGTACATTTAAGGGGTGAAACATTTAGAGGGTTGTCTTTTCAAAACCAAGGCTTTCTACTGACAGGAAATTAGGGGAAGATCAAGCCAATTTCTCTCCTGTGATTGGAGCTTGTAAATCAACATTAGCAATTTATCTTTATAAGGAAAAACATGCCAAGTCAGAGCTAAAACTTTTCTTTATTCTGCGTTTTTCTCCCATCTTCCCACATTCATGACATTCAAGAAAAATTCCTGATTTGTTCATGGAGTTTTGGTGTGGTGTTTGTGTGCTCAGTAGATTTTCACAAAACTACCCCTTAGAGCTACTTCCTCATTATAAAAAGCTAAAATGGATTAATTAAAAACCCTTCTCTTGGTAAGAGAAGTAGGAAGCAATTAAGCCATTTTTACTCTTATGAACTGGTCACCTGTGATTGTAGCTTGTAAGAAAACATTGGTAATGAATATTTTCAAAGGTAAACATAAATTTGCATGCCATGCAAGTTGAAGCAAAACTTTAAGGTTTAAAACTTATTTTAGGCTTGTGATTTACAGGGTTCTCTGAACAGAGCTATTATACCACCTCATAAGAAAATCAGGAAAAGATGAAGCCGTTTTCATAAATGTGAAATAGTCTCCTGTGGTTTCAGCTTGTAAAATGAGATTAGTAATTCATATTTACAAAGAGAAACATGAATTTGCATGCCAAATTGGAGCCAAAACTCTTGTGTTTTTCCATCTTTGGATATTGTTGCTCTTCATATTAAAATATTTTGCACATAATGAATAACTTTAAAGGGTAAGACTGTCAATGTTGAAGCCCAAACTCTTGTTTCTTTATTGATTTTCCATCTTTTCACATTCATGTCAACCCAGATGAATTAGAAATGACTGATTTTTCAGTGGAGTTTGGGGTGAGATTTCTCAATCTTCAACATATTTTATGAATGTTTCAATTCTAAACCTGAACATCCATTTTTGCTTTTTATATTTAAGCACCTTGGATCAAAATAAGTAGCTTTGAGTGGCAAAGCTGTCAGAGGTATAACCAAAAGTTGTCTGTCTTTCCATCTTTCTATGTAAAAGACATCCAGAATGATTACGATATGACTGATTTGTGAATGGACTTTGGTGTAAAGCTGTTCTGAGGTGTATGATTTACAAGGTTCTCTTGGTCAAATAAAGGGATCGCTCTGATTCTTAAGGAAATTAGGAAAAGATTAGGTCATTTTTATTAGTGTAAGCTTGTCCCCTGTGAGTGTAGCTTGTAAAATGAGATTACTCATTTATATTTAAAAGGATAAACATGAGTTTGCATGCCATGTTTGAGTTAAAACTCTTCTGTTCTTTCATCTTTGGGCGTTGTTGCACTTCATATTTGGGTAGTTTTGTTCAGAATAAGTAGCTTTTAGGGGTAAAACTGTCAAAGCTGAGGCTGAAACTCCTCATTTTTTTTCACATTTTTCATGCTTCTGCTAAGTGTGCAGCTTCTCTATGACTTGTCAAGCTCTACCAGTGTTATGTATAATCCCTACACAGTACTTGTATGTGATCTGGAGGAGATTCCACTGTGTTTTTATGTTTAGAAAACCCTGTTGAGATCCAGGTGTTCTCACTTGTTGTTCGGACATGAACCAACTCTATATGCTGCTGTGTGCGAGAGGGGAAAACGTGGGTTGTGTTGCAGGGATCCACTTTTACGTCCTTTCATTACAGCGAACCGGATGCCCTGTGATCTTCCCTCTGTGTGTCCTGACAGTTATTGGCTTTTAAAAGAGCAGAGATACATGCCAGCGCTTATTATAGGACGAGAGTTTAGGAGGTGAAAAGAGAGAAAACTAGATGATGGAATGAAACAAAGGCAGCAGTGAAGAAGTTAAAGACGTGGCCAAATGGAGAAATAGCTGCAGTGTGTTATTAGTGAGTGACGACCAACAGATACAGAAAACGGCTGGTTAAACATCATGGCTGGTTGGCATCAAACTACCCAGAGTACAATTTTGCTCTCTGGTGCCTTAAAAGTTGCATGAAATGAGACGAATGTTGGAGGAAGAGTTGTGGAGTTTTAGGAAGATGTAACACTGGCTGGAAAGTGTGTTTTTGTCATTATGAAATGAATATCTTTGGTTATACAATTTTTTGAAGACGTCACCTTGAACTTGGGAAAATTTTGGTTTTCAACTGCTTTCAAAACAGTTTTTTAGTCAGAAGAAAAATATATTTTGTTTTTAAAATTGACTGAAAGTAAAAGACAATTGAAGGCTTGCATATAATCTTATCTTAGCCAATTGCATTTCATTTCATTTTTAATGTTTGTTCTGGCTGCAAGGTGGCTCAGTGGTTAGCACCGTTGTCTCGCAGCAAGAAGGTCGCCGGTTCGTGTCCCTGTGAGGACACTAGGGATCTTTCTGCGTGGAGTTTGCATGTTCTCCCTGTGCAGCGTGGGTTCTCTCCGGGTTCTCCGGCTTCCTCCCACACAGTCCAAAAACATGTTGAGGTTAATTGGTGATTCTAAATTGTCCGTAGGTGTGAATGTGAGTGTGCTTGGTTGTCTGTCTCTAAGTGTAGCCCTGTGATAGACTGGTGACCTGTCCAGGGTGTCTCCTGCCTTCACCCTGAGTCAGCTGGGATAGACTCCAGCCCCCCACGACCCTAGTGAGGATTAAGCGGTGTGTAGATAATGGATGGATGTTCGTTCTGGTGTGCGTGTTTGTTTTCTTCATCCTATGTAATACCAAGTTGAACATTTTTGAGTCTTGGAATTTTTTTGTACATAAAATTATGAGAAAGTGAAATACAACTGAAGGCTTTCTCATAATTTCAATAATGCTCATTCTAATCCCCTGTTTTTAATGTAGTTTTAAATGGTTCTTGTTGGTTTTCTCACTGGCTTTAGAAGTTGAATGCCTTTAGTTTTTAGACCGATTGAAGCTTATTGGCTTATAGTCAACAATGACTGAAAGCTTGCATATAATTTTACCAAAGTTTGTGATCTAATTTGTTCACAAACATATGTTTCTGTTAAGTGGTGTTCAAGCGATTAGCCAAAACAAAAAATGATTGTGCTGAATGTGGAAAATCATCTTTCTTAATTAAAATGTAAGCGATGATATGGTTCCAGCATTTGAATTGTAAATATTTGTAGTTTTCTTTGTCTTTTGCTGTTTTAAATGTGATGTATGTTGGTTTTGGAAAGGTTGGAGATGTTAAATAGTCAGAAAAACATCACTACTTTTTTAAAATTCAGTGAAAGTCAATGGCTTCGGAAAGTTTGTGCACAGTTCTGCAAAAATATCTCATTTTAGTGTCTTGCTTTTGAATTAGTATTTATTGATCAATATTTGCCTGCATCACTGGTTATATCAATAGAGTTAACAAAACATTGTATTTTGTTAAATTATTGGAGACTTTTCCTTGTTTGAAAACACTTTCATATTTCTTTTAAATGTGGAAATGAGTGAGTGAGTGAGCAGTTCCTGATTAAATTAGTTTATCTGTAATAATTAGCACAAATGAGTTTGAGATCAGGTGGCCTCAATAAGACAGAGACCATAAAAATAAATTGAAGAGCCCTTCCCGTCTCAGTGTTTAATTGTGTTCAAGTGATCCACACTAATTAGGTAATCAGATTACCACAAAATATTTGCCACACAGATAACCTGCAGCGCTCAGGATGCTTGTTGTGATCAACTGCATGTGTGTGGGTGTGTTTATTGGCAGGAAGAAGCTTCCAATTTCCAATAAAAGTTCATTTGAGGGACCTCAATAAAAGCGAGACCCCCCCCATATAAACACTGTGCATGTGTTGACGTGTTGTCTGACCACGTCAGAGAACAAAAGTATTTATAACTGATCCAAATGGCCACACTGGAAGCCGGACTGCACTGTCATCTGACATCCGGAGTAAGGTGATGTGAGGTGGTGCAGTAATATTTAACTGTGGGTGTAAAAGATGATGCTGATACTGATGTGTTTGGTTGTTCACATGAAAAGTACCATTGGCGTAGTATGTAGCTGTGACAGATAATGTTATGGTGAGGATAAAACCAGTGATTAAGAGATACATACATTCTCAGTCCAGTGAAACCTGGATCTGTATGTTTCTGTACACATGATAAACGCTGATAAATTGTTTTATGCGTGCTGTGTGTTCAAAAAACAGCAATTTTAAAAGGTTAATATGTCGTTTTAAACTTGTGCTGCAACTTACTGTGATTGTTGATGAATTTATTTATTATTTTCTGGATTAACTGACTAGTTGTTCGGTCAATCAAATGTCAGAAAATTGTGAAAAATGTCCATCAGGTGTTTCTAAAGCCAAAAATGATAAATCTTTT